AGTATAAAAATCAAATAAACAAATAAATAAAGTCTTCACATACACTTACCTGGGAGTTGGCCTCATTTATTCTAATGAGGTTTACATGTGAGTAGACATGAGAAACATTTCATTGTTAGACATTTATAGAGTGACCCAATGCAAAAGAGGAGAAGGATTTTCACTATCAAATGCCTTTCTTAGTGGTACTGAAAGGGGACTTTGGAAGGTGCATCTTTTCATGTACCAGTGAGGGACCTTCACCTCTACAGCCTGAATTATCAAAGGCAGTTGCCCCACTCCACAACCAGCTTTTAATTGGCTTGACCCAGTTTAATCTTCTTGGACCATGGTCACAATTGCAAGCTGCAACACCTGGTGGCAAAATCCAGCAGAATCTTTGCCACTGGTACTGAGCACCCATTGCTGTCACAGGACAAGCACTTGTGCAATTAGGAGCCACAGGACAGGGATGGGCTGCATTTCTCATGCAGTTAACTAGTACAGTTGCTGCATGGCATCCTCAAACAGGACTAGCACCTGTGCAGTCACCGCTAACTTAGGAAGGTAGACTGGCTTCACATACAGGGCTCCAGCAAGGGTAATTTAGGAAAGACGATCTATACATGCTCAGTGGCAATTTGCTTACAGGTCTTTTATTTCCTTTACATAGTCCTCTCACCTCCTAGGGTGTGGGGGGCTCCACATATGCTCAGAGGCACTCAGCCCTAGAGGCTGGAATTTTTTAAAACATACAAATCACAACTCTATTAAAGCAGGCAGGAGCCCTACCTGACTGCACTAGTCACCTAAGCAAGAGATTATAGAGACATAGGTTGAGTGTGGGTTGTTGTTAAACTGGATTATCATGTTTTCTAAACCCAACCAAGATAACAAACCATGGTGAACAACCTGGAATTCACAACCCAACAACAAACCATGGGTGAGTTCATGTGACATGAAAAGTCATGGTCAACTCTTACTTTGGTGGATCTGTTGTGTTATCTGGATTTAGCTCCAGAGCTGCTGCATGGTAGGACTCATTTTCTGAAACCACAGAAAGAATTGAGTCATGCAGACCTGGGATCACCATTTTACTATTATTGGAGTGGAGGCACCATGGAGTCCTCTGGCACGAGCAGCCACAAAAGTGGCAGCTTCTAGGCTTCCATCTCTACTGCCCTCTACACCCTAGCAACAGATGCATCTTTGCTTGCTTTACTCCTATTGGCTGAGTGATGTGACTGTCTCCGTTTACTTTTGGACACAGGGAGACAGCATGAAAATACACAGTGGCAGATGGAGGAATCTCAGCAAAACACTTTATTTCATGTAATTAAAATCTCTCTGGGGGCTGGAGCAGCTTCCCAAGTACCACACTTGGGAAGGGGGAAGGGGAACCTGCCTCAGGATCAATCAGGAGGAAGTTGTTGCAACCCACAGGCAAGAATGGAGAAAGGACAGAGGTTCTGCTTGTGGGTTGATGGGATGTGGGGCAAAGCCAGGAGGACAGAGCAAGGAGCATGGAAATCACATTGCCAGGGGAACCACCTTACTTTGGGCAGAAATCCACACATCATGAAAACAATGGCAGGTTGTTTGCCCCAGTGTGTGAAGCCAACCCATGAGCTCTCTGCATGGGGTTCTTATGGCTATGAAGCCATGGCTTGTTAATGCATCTGGGTTCAGACAACAAAATAGCCCATGGCTCAAAAAGCCATGGTTCAGCCACAAAGCCACACCCAGCCCTTGGGCATGCCCTTCGCTGTTTTTCTTCAGCAGCTACTAGGTGTGGAAGCCAGTCTTCCCAAGAACTCCCTCCCTGCCCAAATCATTCTAGTTCCCACTAGGAAGAGGTGAGTTACTGTGCTCGGAGGTGTGGGAGGCAAGAAGCTGCAGTGCATTCATGACTAGTAGCAGGTGGAGTCATCGTCTCCTGGGAGAGGCCGGGACATTGCAGGACAAAGGATGGCGAGGCTCAGCACACCTGGGCCTGCGGAATGTTCATAAAGCCGTTGCCAAGGAGTGGCCCGCAGTTGCTAGGCAGTGCTGGCAGCAGGTGGAGCCTGGCGATCATGTGACGGGCAGTAACTCAGACGGTGGTGCCAAAGGGTGCCAGGGAACTGTGGCCCGGGTGGGGCCTCTTGGAGAAACTGGAGGGGGGTGTGGAGAGCGGGAGCCACCTGCGAGACCAGCCTTGCGCAGTGCAAATGCCTGAGAGGAGCAGCCGCAAACTCCTGCACCTCATCTCTGGGGAGATGCTTTAAGCATATATCCCTTTCAAATCCAGGGGCAGAAATTGCTTTCTCCTCTGCTGACATGCATTCAGGAGCCAATCTCTCTCTCACACCCCCCACCACTTGATTTCCTTATACCTTTTGGACTTTAGACTTAATGGTTTTACCACAACCCACCTCTTTCAGTGGAAAAGTGTATTTCACTTACATCAGAATGTGATAAGCTGGCCCCTCCTGCCTCACTCTGCTAAGTGGAAAGCCTTGGAAGTCTGCCCCAAAGTCCTGTCCTGAGATTGCAACTACTTATTATAGGATCCAAACCACTGTATTCACCCACCCAAGAATCCTGCAAGGCAGATCTGTATCAAGGCAACCTGTGATCAAAAGAAAGTGGCAAGTTTAGCCAGAAAATCATACTCAGATCAGATTTGAACTCGGGTGTCCTTGGTACAACATCCTATCTGCTAGAGCAGAGGTGGAGAGAAGGCAGAGGAGCATCTACTGAGAGATCATTGAAAAAAGACATGTATGAAGAACCAGGAGTGAGTTTTGTGTGAGAGGATTTATGAGCTTGGTTCTGGTACTGATCACTAATTTCTGGGCTGAGAATGTGTGGAACGACACCCTGTTCCTTAATTCTTAGCATATTCCTGCCTACTTAAGCTTATACCTGCCTCCAGTTGGTGAACCTCAGGATTCTAGTAGAACATCCAAAGTAGTTCCCACAAGCCTGAAGTCTACTTACCTTTACCCTAGGGCCACATGCCTGGCTCAGCCTAAGCTCAAGCACCCACAGATGCCTTGCTTTGTTGAAAATTACCCATTATGCAAAATTTGATGCTCTTAACCAAAAAGCAAGATTAGAAGGTTATGTGCGTATTTGAGAAGAAAAGATTGCACATCCCTGTCTCCTTGTATTTGAATGCTCTTCACATGAACAGCTGCAATGTATGAGGAGAGCATTTGGTTCTAACTCAGCAAGAAATCTAAGGTAAAAACATTTAAATTTCTATTACTGTATCTCACAATAACAACAGCAGTAGAATTAATGGCAGCACTATTAATACAGTAAACCAACCTTCCTTGACTTCATGCCCTCCAGATATGTTAGACTACAGCTCCCATCATCCCACGCCAGCATGGGCAACAGGTTGGAAAGGTTGCACTACATGAGAAAAGCTTCTATAGCTGCTTTGTGTGAAGCTCCATGCTGCCACCTAGAGGAACGTTCAAAGAACACGCTGGAGAAAAGTTTCTGGGGGAAATGGAAGGTTAAAAGATAGCCACACAGGAATTCTGGCCATGAGCCCACCTTGCCCAGTAGTGCTGATGCAGATGGGCAGCAATGGCTCTCCAGGGTTTCAGGCAGGAAACCCCCAGCTGTACCCAGAGATGCCAGGGACGTTCCCAGAGACTTTCGGGGCGCAAGGCAGGTGCCTTGGCGCGTAGCTGTGGCCTTTCCTCCCAGAAGCAACAATGGAGTCACAGGCAGACATTTTTGCACGACAAGGCTGGGCAGACAATTTAGTTCCACTGTTTGATCAATGCAAGGATTCTGCTATTTATCAGGTCAGCAACTTTGCTTCTTTTTCTACCTCACTCAGTCTCCCCATTCCCAGCGGTTTGGGCTGCTGACACGGACTGCCTTTCTCAGCTATGGCCTGGAATGGATGCATGTTGACACTTTATTAAGGGAATATATTTTGTGCCCCGAGCACTGATGCTTACAGCCATAATTTCTAAACAAAGGCAACAAAATGGAACTCTTGCTGTCACTAATACATGTCCTATCAGAAAGCCCTTAACTTGGTAAGAAAAGAATTAACCCAGTTAATCTAAAGGAAACAATTCTTAGGGCTGGTTCACAAGTATGTGTACTTCCATTACCTGTATTAGTGCGCAGCACTCTCAGGAGGCTGTTGGGACCTTAGCGTCTACTTTGGAAATACCTGCCCTCCAGGGTAATAAGGCCCGAGAGCTATCACTTAAAATATCACACGGGGTCTTGGAGTGGCACCATGTCAGGGTGACTGTTGGAAATTTAAATGGTTTCTCCAAGTTGGCCATAGGTCAGACAGAGCCAGCCTGTCCGGACCCCCTGAAGTAGGGAGGTCCCACCAGAAAGCCACCTAAAACTTGGGACCAGCTCTGTGTACAACACTATATATAAATTGCTTTCGCTGCAGTGAACCATTGTGCCGGAAGTAATACAAAGTTCTGAGTTAGTCATACTTAGAGTAGACCCACTGCAACCAATAGGACATTGGTCAAAACTTGCTTAATTCCAATTAAATGCAAGGGATCTACCTTAACTATGATTCAAGGCACAATCACAGGCAGGTTTGGACAGTAAAAAGGTCTACAACTCTCAGCATTCTGGAAATCCTAGGACTTTTTTCTGCCTAGACATGCGTAGGATTGCATTCCAAATCTGGATTCAAATGCACATCTGTAACGTTTGATCTTCAATGGTTATTTCATACCTGCAGAGCTGCTTTTAATGGTAGAGCTTAAAAACAATCAATGCACATGTAGAATCTTGTCCAAGATTATTTTAAGTGAACTCTTGTGACCCCAGTTTTTCATTCTTTCCCATTAACCATCCGTACCTCCAGAAGCTTTATGCCATGCATTGGCAAAGCCAAACACAGGAATTACAAGGGATTTTGTATCTCCAAATTGGATCGCCAAGCTGTAAGAGAGCAAAGGATCACTGCTCTTGAATAAGAGGGTGACGGAAACAAGAACATACCCAGAAGAAAGTTGTAAAAGAACTAGAAAGTATTTGTTATTAAAATTTCACTATTTTAATCTGTAGAAAGCAAACAAATTAAATTAGTTGAAAACAACATCACAAAAGAGGCACCAGTGAAGTTTTAGAAGGCACTTGACAAGCCTATCAGTACGTACCTATTGTTTTGTTTGAGAATCAGATCAGAAAGGAGCCCAGGGCTACTGAGTTCTGCCATGCGACATGACTGATTAGCACAAGTCAGGACCAGGGCAGTGTGTGCAGGGTTGGTGCTAGGTAATGGAAGAAAAGATCTAGGGATCAGGCCCACAGGACAAAGCAAAAAAAGGTACAAATTTGCATATGCCAATTTACATATGTCTAAAACTCTTTCTAGGTATCCTTAAAGGAGTCGGCCTCCTAAGACCACCCTTATTTGAAAACAGGGATATATGAACAGGAGAGAGAAGGGCATTTGTTTAAAAAAACCTCAGGTGGATAGGTTCTGGAAGACAGTAGGAGGTAAAGCAAAAGGCCAGCTAATCCAGGAGGATCAGGTGCAACAGAGATAATCAGGACCTGTACCTTGATTTCAGGAAATGCCCATGGACATCAACCCAGGGGTTGCAGAGGAAAGATTCAGGGCTCCAGACCCAGCAGACTACCTTCTAACAGTGTCTCTGGATTTCAGAGTGTTTAGCACCGGACTGGCAAGAGTTTCCCATTCCCACTGATTAAACAAAGGCAATAACAAAAATATATTTTTCTTAATTAGCTTGCTGAATAAAGACAGAAGGGTGGAGGGAAACAGAAGTATACTATTGTGTGAAAGGAGTAAGATCAGTCCTGGTCCTAAATACACGTTCTTGACTTCCACATTTGATCAAGCTCATCTAGGTGTGCAAAGGCTCCTCTAGTGCTACCATTTTGCACCTGGCTCTAAGTTGGAGGATTTTGTGGGTCTAAGAAAAATCTACCAAGCCTGAGGTCTGCTCCTCTGTGCCTGGCAGGGAAAGGATCAATAGTTTACAACGGTCCCCTGGGACCAAGGGAGATCAACGGCACTGAAAACCCAGTTACAGATCGCCACCTTTTGGTCACGGTCACTAGTTTCCAATAGATGCCTAAGCCTGTCCACATGGCTTTTATAGAAGTTAAGCATGCTGGGACATAAAGCAGCATCTTTGATTGGCTCAGAAGCGCCCAGCTGTGGCCAGTCCAATTGGAGGTGGAATTCTGAGTTTTACACAGGAGGTGTCGAAGAGCGACTTCCCCAGGCTGGGATGCTAACCTAAGAACTAGGAGGACCTGGAGGATGAGCTTTCCACAGCATGGAGCTTCTTGAAACGCCATCAGAGGGCGCAGCTGCCCATTCCAGGCAGCCCACTTCAATCCTGGTGAGTGCAAGGGAAGAGGATGCCCCCTCTCCTGCAGGTGCTGTGAGGATCGTATCACTCACTCGAGCCGCTCTGTGAACAAAGAACATAGCGTGTTAGAATGAGCCCTTTCTCAGTCTTTGCAATTTGCACAGGGTCGAATTTCCAAAGGTGGTCAAAACATTGCTCAGGCCCTCCGGGGAAGGCATGCCACAACATGCTTGCTCACTGGTGCCCCCTGCAGGATCCATGCAGCATGCCCCACAGTTCACTGGCAATCTGCAGAACTTGTAAACGTCGGAAGAAGAGGAAAGGATGGAGAGCAACACGGCTGTGCATGCGTGAGAACATTTCCCAGGCTTCCACAGAGGACCTGCTGGACCTCTGATTTCCTGTTCCAAGCTCTTGCAGTGCTTTCTGGGAGCTGCCCAAGCTCAGAAGTCAAGCTGCACATCTGCAGAGGGATGGATGGAAAGACATACCCAGATGGAAGCAGAGGTGGTACAACGAAGACACAAAGCGGAAAGGTGGGGAGACGGAACAAACACAACATCCAACAGGAAGGGATGTGAAGAAATCCGGAAGGGGAAGGGAATACATTCAGGACTGAGCAAAGCAGGGTGAAGGGCCAGCCCTTCAGTCTTGCCATTAGTAACCTTGGTCAGCTTTGTCGCCTTTTGATTTCGGCTCCTGCCACCACTGGGACAGAAATCCCTCTTCATAATCACCAATCTCCTCAAACTCAGCATCCGATGGTAATGCTAGCTCCTTCTCCGCCTCAGCTTCACCCACCTCTCCCTTAGGAAAGAAAAATTGGTCATAAGGAAACAGCTCAAGAAGGACTTGTCTGTTACCCCCACTGCTGATAATCTGTTCCTTTGTAAAAGCACTGCACAAGTGCAAATGGGGTGCTAAAAAAGCCAACTGCCTCTGTGAGTTTCTAGTCCATATGACTCCCAAATAAGTTTGAAATAGTGTGGGTAATGCCTGGTGAAATCACAGAAACTGTGGCAAGTCGGAGGGTTTAAATATAGAATTGCACCTTATAGTGCTAATATAGTGGTAACTTTCTGTCAGTAGAACAAACTCTCTTGATGGGTCAAATCTTCCCTCCTATTGTAAGTTCCTCACATGCTCCCCAAATATGCTTTGGTGGGTTAGGGTTCTGAATGTGATAAGGTGAAATACATCTCTTCCCCACATGAGATTCTCTCCCACCCCAAAAGAAAGCAAGCCAGTGCCAGAATGGGAGTCAACCCTTTTCTATCCTACCTCTTCCTGAAACTTCAGTTAAGTTTAGAAAGAAAGAGCAAGAACTGGCCTCCAATCTTCCAGTGAGTTTCGTGGATGAACAGGAATCTGAGCTTGGGTGTCCTCCTACTGTAGCACACTAGCTCCAGTCTCCTGTGCTCTCACCTCATCATCTGGTTGGAGATACTGCTCAGAAAACTCCAGGAGCTTCTTCTGTGTGGCAGTCTGGTTGTGATAGTGCAAGGCCTCCTGGGAGTAGGGGACAGAAGACAAGGGTCAGCCCCAAGCAATGACAGAGCCACAGAAAGTATTTTCTTAGCTGGAGCCAACCTTGATGCCCATTTGCAGGGAGGCTCTGATAAGGAGACCAAATGATCCGCGCTTAGAGGCTTTGACTTACAAATGCTTTTTCTAGTTGCTAGGTTAGGACACAACTGCATCCACAATGCACCTGGAAAGGTTAGGGTGGGCGGCTTCCAGTAACTGAGTTGCAGCAACATCCAATGAAGAATGTACAGACAAGAAAGGTACTCGAGCATCCAAGATGCATCCAGCATGCAAGCCTTTCCTATGCAATTCTCCCACTTGGAGAAGGCAGCTGCAACAGCACAGCAACCCAAAGTGGGAGACTCTCTCGCTCGCCCAGATGGCATCTGGGTGCTGCAACGCACTGTTGCTCCCTGTCCACTGGATTCAGAATTCACATTCTCCACAAGGACTTGGGCTTACTCCTCATCTCTTAAATTTGTGCCACTGCATTCACACATAAGCATCCCAGACTAACCTTTCCTTCCCTCTGCTGAGTCCCCCAGATTAGATGAGCTACCTGTGGACAGGGGCCCATTTTATCATTGTGAAAGGAAAGGTGGACACTGACAGCTCAGCATAAATACTAATTATCGAACTGCACACATGCTGGATTTGGGGCTTACGTATCTTCTCTTTATTCTTTTACAGGCTGTTGGTGAGGGAGACATGGCCTGAGGACACCTTCCATGTGGCCTGCTGTATCTGTGGCAACACAGCCCCTTCAGTCCCTGCCCAGGCAAGGAGCACTTTTAAATTGTGTCTCACTGAAGAGAAAGGTGGGGAGGGAGGGAGGGAGGGAAAGAGTTGCGGGGGGAGGAGGAGGAGGTCTGGGTGGGTTTGGACCCGTCCACCACTGCACACAGCCCACAACAGATCACTTCTGAAAGAGGGTGGCTCTCAGAAACTTATGACTAAGAAGTTAGTCCATGTCTGACAAATTCTGCAGAGCTCAACAGAATCTCCATCGTTCAGGAGGTAAGGGTCAGATCCTTGCCTCTCCCATGACAAGGAGCAGCAGAGTAATATTTGTAAAGTTGCTTTGTTATTAATAATCATCATCACCATTTTTGAAAAATAGCAAGAGACACTGGCGATTGCTTCCTCCAGCACAATAGGCCTGTGAGCTTTCCAAGAATACCAGCCTACTGGAAACTAAATATGTGCATGGTCCAACACTCCTGCAACATAAGCGCCCACCAGATATTCTGGACTACAACATCCATGAGCCCCCCTCAGCATGGCCGACATGATGGGACCTGTAGTCCAGATCATCTGGAGGGCATCTGGGTGCTTAAGTCAGCCCCTGCTCCTACTCTCACCGGCCGTGGGTTGAAGTCGTCCTCTTCCAGGTGCCACCGCTCTCGATAAAAGCGATAGTAGACCAGGTTCTGTTGCATCACCTCATCTCGGGGATCAAACAGCATGTAGCTGGCCACGCTCTGTACTGCATTCTTGATATCATTCACTGCGTAGAGGATGATACACCAATTAGTGGGAAGGTAACTGGTGTGAGTAGGGGGGATTGCGCGCCAGCCCTCCCCAGCTAGGTCTACTCTTTACAGGTTTTTAGCTACAGCTCCCATCAGCCCCAGCCAGCATGGGCAATCACCAGCGATGATGGGGAATGCAGGCAGAACACTTAGAGGCCACTACTTCCGCACTCCAGGGTTAGACAAATTCCTAGATGGTGGATCTACCAACAGCTACCAGTTATGAAATCTAAACATTCAGGGATACAATGTACTATGTAATAACAGAACTCAGCCTATGAATGTGGACACATGTTGCCAGAATGGGACCATCTACCCCCATGAAGGAAGATTAAGTGGGGCTGTGGGAATTTGAGGCTTGCAGAAGTACCCGAAATAGTTAGAAAAAGATAGATTTGGGGTGAGGGGGGGAGGCTCACAAAAACAGCTAGGTAAGAATTAAGCATGTTCAGTGCCCACAGAAAGGACTGAACATCCTAGAAAAGGACATGCTTGGTTAACTGGAACCCTATACTGCAACATTTTGCTGCAGGTCCCAGTAGTTATCTTTGAACATTGGGCAATGGAAACAAACCACAACAGTAGGGCAAAAGAAGGGAATGCTGGGAAAATGCCTGCTGCCCTCATCCCAACCCAAAAGCTTCTGCAACGATCCTTGCCAGGTCTGCCAGTGGCCTGATGGTCACTCCTGCCCAATCCACCTCCTTCCCCAAGGACTCACGCTTGTAGTATGCGAACTGGAGGTAGTGGTACATCGTGGCCACGAACTTCTCCACAAAGTAGCCACCTACGTTTGGCGTTAGGTCAGCCTCACAATCCACTTTGCATTGTAGAACACTGACAAAATGATCTGCACGGAAGGTTGACAAGGGAGGGGAGAGGCGGGAGGTAAGAAAGGAAACAGATGATGAAAAATCTGCCTTTTGGCTACTGTCAGACAGTCAACAAAGTTTGGAGATGATCTCCTCTTTCATGGCCATTTATGTTGTATCGCATAGGCCATTTCTAAGCCTATTTTCTCAGATGCAGTTCTCAATCTTTTTGCAATATTCATTTCTGCAGAGATGCTTCTGTATCCCCTTCTCATGTTTTCAAAATTCTGGGTGAACTTCTACATACATCCACCTCCAAGACACCTCCACCTCCAAGACACCTGTCCTGCTCCTTGGAATAATTCTGGGTAGACTCTCATTTAATTTTACTTTCTGCAAGGATGGAAGCACTCACTGTTTATGGAGCATGTTAACAGAGATATTTGATTATGTCACAATGAAAATGCATACTTGCACATAAAGGACGGACACTACAATGTTAATAACCAATGTCCCATTGCTAATCATTTCATGGCATGATAGATCATAGTATTTAATTTATACTGCACACACTTTTCATTTATTACAACCACCCTTCTGTTCCAGAGTTGAGCCCTGGCCTGGAAAACAAGGTCTGGAAGATGAGCTCTAAGAAGATCCTCCTTTTAAAAGTGGGGCACCTGAAATTTTCCTCAACTAAAAATGTAGGTAATGTATAGCAGAAATGACAAGGATGCACAAAGAGGTCAGGGGAAAGTCAGAGGCTGGAGAAACAAAAAGAACAAGATAGTTTAAAAAGAAGATGTAAAAGAGGAGAAAGTGTTTTAAAAGATAAATCAGTTGTGCATACATAACCTATCAGCTTATTTTCTCTGGATGATTTCTTCCTTATGAAAATTATGGGGAGAAATTTCCTGGAGATCTCGGGCCAGGGATGAATAGACTTTAGGCTTCTGGAATCTACAAGGCCCCCACGGTCCAGCAACCCGGTGATTCAGAAAGGCAGAGACAGAATTAAGGAATAAAATGCTGTTTGGCACACACAGGATTTGGGTTTAGCAGGTCTGGGGCATTTGCACAAACCTTTTCATACAGCAAATCTGTTTTCTGCTTTTCCACAGGTAGCAGCACCAGTGAAAATCAGAAACCCTACTATTGCCAATCACCAAAAGAGCTTCCAGTTGGTCCTGATCTACCTTCTGCCCACTGCCAACCTGTGCTCAGTGGCCGGCAGTTGGTGCTACTGCCTCTGACACATTTTTCTAGCTCCAGAGAAGCTGGTGGCTGGCCACCGCAGGTTCATCCTGATGCAACAGGGGTGGGAACCTGTAACCCTCAAAAGGCTGCCAGACCGCAAGTCCCATGATCCCTCACTAAGGTGGCTAAACTGGCATGGGCTGATGGGAGCTGCAGCCCAACAACTTCTGGGGGGTCACATGTTCCATCTCCAAGAGGATGAGGTGTGGTGGCCACGTCTTCATTTTAAGGCAGTCCCTTATGCCAATTGAGGCTGTCAAGGGCCCCTGACATGGGTGCTCATGGGGGGGGCGGGCTGCCACTGGAAAAGGAAATAGTTGAGAAGCCTCAGTCATTCCATTTGGATCTCTGCCTTATAAATCCTAAAATCCATTGTGTGAAGTGCGTGGAAATGGGCAGATTAGAGAAATGACAGGGTGTGACTGTCCTAATCCCACCCAATCAGAGCAAGTATTAAAGGACACAGGTTCAAGCTGTGTTAAGTACTTAGAAAACAACAAACTTTAAGCTTTATGCTTATTTAAAAGGGGGCATTTGCACTCTGTGAGTGCTATCAATGGCAACAAGAGATGTGCTTAATTACTTAATGCCAAACAGGATCTGGTGGGTGTTTTTTAGAGGGACACTAGTAGATCAAAGCAGGCTCAAGGCCAGCCGAACTGAGAATATAACACAACTTGAAAGCACGAAATATTTCTGCAGCTTCACTCATAGTCTTCACTGTGTTGCGTGTTGTACTGTTGTATCACTTACAAAATTAGGAGGTTTCTCTGCCTGTACAAGCAGCATATTTGATGTATGAAACTGCTGACCACCAGAAAGGACAAGAATTAGGAGGGATCATCACTCCCACTTGTGCAATGGTTGCTTTGCCTCCACTGCCCATAGTTTGTCAAGATGGCAGCCTCTCTGCCCTCACCTGCAATGGCTGGGTAGAAGTCCTTAAATTCACGAAGTTCATAGCTGCCTTCACAGCCAGCCAAGCAGTTCTCATAAGCCTTGTAATAATCGGACAGCGCGTGCTCCATGTCGGTGATGCTGTTCCGGAAATCCCCACTGTTATACAGTTTCACTGCTCGCACAAAAACTGCCTGCACGCAGGGAAAGGGAAGACAGCAGATTAGGTTCAACAAGGTGTCCACAAACATGAAGTTAAGAATTGCCACGCTGGGTGAAGTGCACCTGGCCAACCCGCTTGGTGTTCTCACAGATGCTCAGCAAAGTTCCTAAGAGGGGCAGCGATGGAGGCATCCCTCCCCTCCTGCTAGTTCAGCTGCAGCTGGCACTCGGGGTACAATTCTGCTGCTTGACCCCGGAAGCATCTAACAAACCAGTACACCAAAGCCAACAATTCTGAAGGCAATGAACCCTGAAAGAAGGGCCCAAAACAATCTTACCAGCAGTGACAATAGAGGCTACTAACATGAGCAGAGCCGGCTGGAGCCGGGGAGTCAGACTAGATGGTCCAGGAGATCCCTTCTGACTCGCTCTGAGTCTGTGTTTGGGTGTTTCTATGTTGCCTTTTCTCATTCAAAATGCTGCCATTTGCTGTTTACGGGCATAGTGTTACGCATGCATTACATTACCAATTTTATGCCTGTGTCAGTGGCTATCTGGTTACCTGAAGGAGTGCTTACATCCATATATGCCCAGCTGCCCCCTGAGATCGGCGGGAGAGGCCCTTCTCCAGGAGCCCTCCGTGAAAGAAATTAGGAGGGGGGTTACTCGGAGGAGGGCTTTCTCAGCAGTGGCACCTAAGTTATGGAACGCGCTCCCCAGAGAGGTCCGCCTGGCGCCGTCGTTATTTGTTTTTCGGCGCCAGGCGAAGACCTTTTTATTTAAGCAGCATTTTAAATGTTAATATTATTGAATTTTATTTGGCCAGGGTGGCTTATTTCATTCTAATGTATACATTTTAATTTTTATTTATGTGAATCTAATTTATTGTTGTAAGCCACCCCGAGGCTTCGGCGAATGGGGCGGCATAAAAATGTTTAAATAAATAAATAAAATAAACCATAGGATGGCACAGACTGTTTTGTCTGAAGGAAAGAGCAGTGTCTTTGCAACAACAGTGGTTTCTAAACTCATAATAATATAAGAAAAGCTGGCCTGGTGAGCTAACATCTATTTCCAAAACAACTCTGAGGCATGAGTAAGTGACCAAAGGGGCCATTTGCTCAGAGAGAACGTTAAATGTTACCCTCGCCTGAAGAGCAACATTTCTCTTTCAAAATACAACATTAACTCCGGGAATGTGGAGAGCCAACACCTCTAGCACATTAGAGATTTTTGCACATGTGGTTTTGAAAAGAGCAAGAGAGGATGGCACTTGTGTCTGCTGCCAAAGAAGAAAGCAATCCCTCCGAGATAAAACAAACATTGGCAGAATGCTTTCTGGTATATTGGGGGGGGGGGGGCAAGGAAAGAAAAACCACACACCTTTTAGGACAGTCTTCCTGAACTGGATGCCTTCCAGATGTTTTGGACCACAACTCTTTGAATTCCTGACCGTTTGTCATGCTGGCAAGGGCTGACGGGAGTTGCAGTCCAAAATATCTGGAGGGTACCGGATCAGGGAAGACTTCTTTCAGGCCCTGGGCTGAAATCCCACCCCAGGGTAATCAGCTTCCCCCTCCTGCAGTGCTGCAAGCACCACTTCCCCCCTTCACCTCATATGGCTGTGCTTCCAGGTCCACGAGGTACTCGTCCACATCCACCATGGTCCTGTAATAATGCAGGTACCTTTGGGTCATCTCATGCTTGGGATTCTTCTGCAAGTACGTATGAGCAGCTGAGACGGCTTTCTCAATCTTATTCGTCTGGAGAATGCACAAAAAAGTAGTTTAAGGCATCAATTTTCCCTGGCCCAGGCCGGGACTTACTTTCAACCCAAACAGGTCCCCCCTTGTTATTTTTTATCTTGTATTTGTATTGTGGGAGAGCTGCTGTTGCGACCTGCCTTAGCTCAGGCCAAGGCGCAGCAACCCGTCACTTGAAGGCCAGGGAGTGAAGGTTCTACATGAAATCAACCAGTCCAAGGGAGTGGACTACATAACCCCCCCCCCGAAAGAAGAGTGGGTATAAAGCGGTGGACAGCCCCAGCACCACCAGGTCTCCGAGAGCTCTTGGACAAGACACCCTCAATGGCCCCCCCGCAGGGAGTCCTGCCTTGTGCTCCTCTTCCGCCTGCTCGTCACTGCCCTCGCTTGACTGGCAGAAAGCTGAGCAGGAAGGCTGCAGGGTCTTCTGCACCCCCTTCCCCCCACTGCTGTTGTCTGGGCCAGAGCAAGAGGCAGGTGGGCAAGTGGGCTGCAGAGGTTAAAAAAGGCAAAACAGGAGCCACTCCAGGGCGGGTCCCCTCAGCCGCTGCCCAGCCTGCTTTGCTTTGATGCCCACCCTCACTGCAGATGCTGCAATGCCTAAACGGATCCGTGCTTAATCACACCTACATGCAGATTGAAAAGCCCCAGTGAAATCAGCAGGTCTTGTTCACACCCAGCTATGTGAAGAACTGGGGGGAAATGCAGCCTCTGTAAGGCCCCCTCTGCCACAGAGTTCTCCTGCACGAACCTGCACTACAGTGAGCGAGAGGGAAGACCAACATCCATTTAGATGCATGCAAAGGAGGCAGCTTGGTGAGGAGGATTTCCTGGGGAAATGGTGGCCCAGGGCCTCAAAATGTCCTGTGCAAAGACTCAGTCCTGGAGCCTACACTGCAGCAATAACAGCTGTAATTCTGAGCGTGCACGGACTGCCTCCTTTTCTCACTGCCGGTTCCTAATAGCACACGAGGCACAACCCAGGCTTGATGCTCAAAACTGCAACCTAGTGGAAAGTTCCAATGACAATATCTAGCATACTCTCAGAAGTCAGAGAAGTAGCTTATGTATGTATGTATTTATTATATTTCTATGCCACCTTGTTTCCCACAAGGAATCCAAAGCGGCTTACACAATCCCCTCTTCCTCTTATCCTCATAGCAACCCTGTGAAGTAGGCTGAGAGTCAGTGACCAGCCCAAATTTACCCAGTGAGCTTAATGGCTGAGCAGGGACTAGAACTTGATCTCCTGAGTTCCAGTCTGACTCTCCAACCATCATACTACACTGGAAGAAATGCATGGTCCTCCACTTGGGTTTCTGCGATTTTACCAATCATCATCCAGATTGCATGTATATCCTGCCTTCTTTCCTCTTGTGAGGAATCCAAGGAGGCTTCCATAACTTAATTTTATCCTCACAGCAACAACCCAATGAGCTGGGAATGAGTGACTGGCCCAAAGTCACCCAGTGAGTTTCATGGCTGAGTGGAGACCAGAGACCAGATCTCCCAGGTCCTCAGTCCAACACTCTTAAGTATTACACCACACTAGCCCTCTAAGCCATAAACTTCTAAGCCTGTTTTTGAGTCCTAAAGACTAGCAACTTGCACTTTCCCTAAAAATCAATCAATCAGTCCAAGATTCTCAGAGCATTAAATTCTGCATGCATTACTAAGACCAATAAGTGAGTTCAGGGAACAGAAACCAAATTCCAACCGCCTGCCTTTTCAGAGCTGACTTCCATCACCATTTAAATGAGAGTCTCTGAGTCAGCTCTGTGGATTAGCCAGCCAAGTCATCTGTCAAAGTCAGCATTTTCTTTGCAGCCTATCCTGGGAGTCCTGGTGAAGCATTTGCCTCTGATATTTGCATTCCCTCATCAGCAGCTTTTACGAGAGTCTGCTGTGCTCATCATGGTGTCGGATGCCAAGATGCTCTGTTGACGTGGGAGGGAAGGAAGGAGACTGCTGGACACGTCTTGTCTTCTGCTCCGAGGCAAAGAAAGGGACCAGTGTATTCGGGATGAGGCAGAGCACGGGCAGACAGCCTTCTATACGCTGACTTTCCACGATTCTCCCTTGTGCCATTTGGTGCTGCTGGGGAGCAGCACATGGATTTTCAGGGGTCAGTTCCTGCCTACACTCTTTAGCAAAGGCCAACCTCCCTGTTAAAAACATAACAACAGTATTTGCATATATTTTCTGGTACAATTGTTTTGAGTAGTTTTATTTTTATATGGGTATAATTGGACTTTGCAGTACAAGAAAGACCACAAATGGCTATTATCTGGAGTCTGGAAGGGCAGCACTAGAAAGGATGCTGGGTTTTAGTTTTACATTTAGAGGAAGCAAGTTCCTAGATCTCATTATGGAAACTTTTGCTCGTACTGTGAAAGTTCAATTATAACCATATAGATTTCTTGACAACACTGGTTGCTTGACTCATCAACCAACATTGGTTCATTGGTTGATGAGTAAAGGAATAGAATTCAGCTGCAGTGACTTCACCCGCCTTGCGCTTTCATCAGGCTTCCTTGAGCACATAATCTACATACTCTTTGGGGTGGACAGCAGAGCAGGCCCGGGAACTCCGAGCCTACTCACCACTTTTGTAGGTTCGGCCTGGCTACTATTACTTCTGGATTTATCTACTATGCTACTACTTGTGCAACCTGATGCTATGGCTGGGGGTGCGGATGCTGCCCCTCTCCCCAGCAACGGCCTGAGACAGTAGTCTTACTTTGCCAGAAGACGGGACACCCTTGAACCGAGGTTTCCTTACAAGAGGGGGAAAGGCAGGATATAAATGCAATATAATAATAATAGTCTGCACAACTCAAAAACAAAACAGCCAAGTTTCAAAATACGATGGCAGAACAAGCAGAAGTTCAAGACAGGGAAAAACCCTCACAGAACAACCTCCATGTGTTGTCCAGAATGTAGCCAGCATGATGGAAATCTGACTGGAAGAGACCAAATGTTCGCTAAGAGAAACTGGGGCCACAAAGAGGCCATTTTTAACAGTTCTACACATGGCAACTACCTCCATGGCGCTGTTTGCTCCATGGAAAATGCTTCCCCTTCCTCACCCCACCAACCTGTTAGGTCTCAAGTCTCCAGACCATCTTGTGTGCACAAGTGCTGCATGAAACAACACTCCTCTGCCCAAAGGACTCCATGGCTAATCTAGCATCTTTGCCATCATTTCTGTATGTGAACAAAGTCTTAAATAGCCTCAGAACTTCACAAAGGAAAGGCAATCTGCCAAGGAATAAGAGGTCCAGAGAGGTTCGGGAGAGAATCCGCTCTCTTGTAACTCTTTCCATCTTGTTCCACTTGAGAAAGCCAGAAATCTGGATGCCGAGGACGTGGCATTTGAGTGCCTTTGGTACAGGAGGGCCAGGGGGGAACTACCTCATTGATGAAAGAGGTGGGGGAAGGGGGGGGGGAAGAGGGTAGGTGTGGGAAGAAGATGCAGGCAAAGGCATTGCTTGCTCACTTAAAATCTATCATAGAGGCCCAGATTTAAAGGGCCAAGCCAGATTAATGCAGATTAAGGTACGTAAAGGGAAGGTAAATGAAAATGAGGCAAGCTGCAGCAGGGTTGGAAAGCACAGACAGGAAATACTTGCATTTTGCTCAATAGACACAAAGAGGATCGCTTCACACATCACAAGAAATCCAGGATGGAAAATGTGTTTGCATAGGAATTTGCATGAAAATCCCCATATATTGCCATGTTCCACAAGCATGCAAATTGGCGTTTTTGCTTCAATGAACAAAACAAAACTCCCAAATGGAACATAAAGGTGATCTACACATGTTGTATAAGATGCAATCCTGGCACAGAAATTTTGGAAGGGACACTGGATTTTGAAAGGAACACAAACTCTTTTCAAAGAATGAGCAGTGGCATGCCAAGAGTTGGCTGACAGTCCAGCTACTGAAACGGATGGAGCTGAATCTCGCTGAACTAGGGTCCAGTGGCAGTAGCTGGATTGTGCAAACCAGAGACAAAGTTCCAAGCAAGGGGAATTCTTCTGAAGGAACTTCATATATGTCAACGTCCATATTGGAAGAATTATGCCTCTTGCACATCGAGCAGGGTAGAGTGATTTGAGGCCTTCTGAATGTTTAGCTTAGAACTTCCTCAGTCCTTCACTGCTGGCTGTGTTGGCTAGGGCTGATGGGACCTGTAGGCCAACAACATCTGGAGGGTCATAAGTTACCCACCCTGATGTAGCTTACCAAGTATATTGCTTATGCACTTAGGTATTTTACTCCAAAAGTAAACAGTATACATGTGCTAAGGTATCATAACAATTTACATCTCCCTAGGTGTGATCATAAACATGACAATCTGAATGGAAAACCACACATGCACAGAATTTTCATTCAGTGAATACGGGGAAATCACCACCTGAATAGTTTCCTTTGTCCGCGTCAACAGAGAACACAAATACTGATAGGTGCAATCATCAAATGTGCCAAAGGGTTTATATGCACAAAGAAACCCATAGGGCCTAGCTACACCTTACCTTAATGTGTATCAATAACAGCATGAGTTTTAAAAATGAAGTGTGCAAGCATATGCAGGAAGTGATTGTAACTGGCATCACACTGAGGAAGGAGGGCAGTTCAAGCTTCCTTCCCCATGGAAAATTTTGGTAAAGCTGGTCCCTCCCTGAAGCAGCAATGAGCAGTAGGAAAAAAATCGTATCCCCACCAAAGTCTCTTGCTGTGCAGTGGAGAAACAGCAAAGTAGAAGCATCCCGCTCACATCAGGGATCGGACAACTGTGGCTTCTCTTGGGCTACCTTCTCCCACCTTCTCCGGTCAATGGTCATGCTGATGGGAGCAACAGCAAGATGGTCACAATTGCCCACTCTGTTCTTAAACTGTATTAATTGCAACTTGGGACTCGCGACCACAAAAGCTCTAGGAGTTATCTGCTGGAAAACTGAAGCCAAGCCCAAGCCTATGTTCTTTGGAAATATAGATGTGGCTCATGATACTAGAATACTATGTAGGCCCCATGCTCTTTGGCTAATGTGGTAGCCTCCTCTGGTCAGCGTTTCTTTTCAAGAGGGGGACATGTTGCTCAAGGCTAGATCTATCTGGAAACAGCACCCTCAGCTTCAGAAACTTTTTCACCTGATCTATAAGCACTCTCCGTGGCTAATCAGTAGCAAAGGAGCACTGTTCCAACTCAAAAGTACTCCCATCTATTCCAAGGTTCAGCCCTGGCATGTGCTTTCAGTACCCCGGAGCAGAAGGAGGTGCCAAGAAACCTGCTTCACAGGAGCCATCCATCCTTCAGGATGGCCCGGGCTCACCTTGAAAAGCGCGTAGTGCAAGTACTGGTAAGGCGTGCGGCGCTGGAAGTCACGCAGGGTCTCGACCGGCGGGTAGCTGAGCTGAAAGACCGGCAAGCTGCGCTTGCACCTCCGCAGGCAGGCGGCGCGCTGCAGGACGAGCCCAAAAAGCTCCATTTCCCGCAGCCACTCCGCGCCCGCGCCCCCTGCAGGCTCCGCACGGCCCGCGCCGCGCCGCGCGCCCTCTGCAGGCTCCGTGGGGCCGGCGCCCTGGGCGGACGTGTCGCTGCCCGCGCACTCCTTGTGGCAGTGAGCCTCGCTGTCCCGGAGCAGGCGGTGGAGGCGCAGGCTCGCTTCCAGGTAGCGGACCGTCTCCTTCCAGCTCTCGTTCTCGTACTGCTCCAGCGCGTACGCGTAGGCGCTCTGCAGCGGCATCAGCTCGGCTTCAGGGAAGCCGCGGAAGCTGTATTTTTCGTACTGCGCCTCGCCTTGGCGCGCCAACGCAGCCAGTAGCAGGAGAGGGAGCAGGAGCCCCCGGCTTCTGCGCTCCATGCCGTTCCTGCAGCCGGCGGCTCGCCTCTCGAGGATTGCCCGGCCTCTTGGAGGCCCATCAGGAGTCTCCGGGAAGCAGGGGGAAGGAAGACGGAGGCAGGCCCAGACGGATTCCGCAGGGTCTTAGTGCAGTCCCTGGAACGAAGAAAGGCCGGCTTCTCCGCCCGCTCCTTCCCCCCTCAGGAGTACTCGCGTTATTATTTTTTTAAATTCCATGCAGAAATCGAGCTTCATAAACTGCATGTGATGATCCCACACGGCATGAGCTGATATATTCCAGAGACTAGCCCCTAGTGAGTTGGCACTAGCTGTGGGAGGCATTGATTCTGGACGCATCTTCTCTGCAGGCTTCCTGATGGATACCATATATTCTTACACTGTCTTTTTTATTTATTTATTTATAACATTTTTATGCCGCGCCCATCGCAAAAAGCCTCGGGGCGGCTTACAAGGAAGATAAATAAACATAGAATAGAATAACATTAAAAATTGGGAGTATCTCGGCCATAATTTAAAACCAATAAATAAAAACAAATTAACAATTAAAATATCGTTTAAATAAAAAGGTCTTGGCCTGGCGCCGAAAAACAAATAGCGACTTTTGAGAAGTTTAAAACGGTCATCAACAGAAAAACATAACTGCATCCAATGGGAAGACAGAAAGAGCCACAAAAAACAAGATTTAAAGCAATACTGCCAGGCAAAACTCTGAACAAAGTGAATCAAGTTTTCTTTTTCAGAACATCTGTGGTGCACATTCTTTTGCACTTATTTTGGAGCCTCAGTTCTTCATTTGTAAAATGGAAACAATCAAGTCCCAGCAGAGGTTTTGTGAAAGGAAAAAGGCTAAGGCTAGAAACAATCTCAAAACAATTTTCTTGTTGCCACATGTCATCAAGTCTCTGACATGGCTTACACTGGCCTCCATGAATGAATGCCCTCCAGGAGTCTTGCCCTTTCGGCCCTGCAGAGCTCTTGTAAATTCAAGGTGTGACTTCATTTATGAAATTGATCTCTCTCTTCTGCCTTCAACTTTCCCTAGCATGATTGCCTTCTCCAGGCATCTTGCCTTCTCATGATGTGCCCAAAGTATGACAGTTTCAGCTTTTTCATTTTTGCTTCCAGGAAAAGATCTGACTTGATTTGATTTAGGCCTTGAATGTTGGTCCAAGGTACACACAGAGCTCTCCTCCAGCACCTTGTTTCTACTGTCCATTTTCTTTCTGTTGCTTGTCTTCACTGCTCTGCTTTTCATACCCATACATAGTGGTCAAGTATACAATAGCATGGATGATTTTGGCCTTAGTTTTTGGTGAAACATCCTCACACTTGATATTTTCTAGTTGCTTCATTGCCCTTCCAAGTCTCTATCATCCTTTAATTTCTTGGCTGCACTCTCCCTTTGAATGGATGAACGTCAGACCTTTTTCATTCCATACAGAGTACAATCCTTTGAGCATCAGTTTACTTGCGTGGGAAACTCGTGCTGCGGTCTTTTGCATCTCCTTTCTTGGGGACTGGAATGTATATTGAACATTTCTAGTCTTTTGGCTATTGTTTTTTTTTCCATATTTAGTTATCATGTAGTCTCAGCACCCTTGGGATAGTTGTACTGGTACCCTATCCACCCTGGGTGTTTTATTCCTTCCAAGTGCCTTCAGAACAATTTTCATTTCACTTTCTAATATGGCATCTTCTTCCTCCTAGGAATCCTCTTTGAAGGAGTCTGCCATTTTTTATCTCTTCTGTATAGTTCTTTCCTATCGTCTTTCCACACTGTCTTTATTTTATCCTTGTCAGGTAACCTGCTCCCCTGTTGGATTTTCAAGATTCCTAATCTAGGTTTGAATTTCCCTTTGATTCCTTGGATCTGCTGGAAGAAGACTCATTTTTTCTCTTTTTTCTCTTCTCTTTCTTTGCAATGGCCATTGTAATAGTAGCCAGTGTTAGTTGCAAATGAAACAGTAATATAATGCACATGTTGAAAATTCATAACAAAGCAGGTAGAGTAAAATAAGAAGACAGAGTGCATTAAAATTAGATTCTGTGCACAGTGCTTTGAAAGTTTTACTGTGTTAATATAAATGGCAGCTTGCTGTGCTTGAGAGCCTGTCAGGTTGTGAAAGGGCCTTACTTCAGGGTGTGCTTGCTCCGTCTGGAGTGAGCTTTCTGAACTGGGTCACCCTGCCAAGAATTAAAGATTCCCATGCCTTTTAAATTACTCATAAAGTGTTAATGTGAAAGATTAAACCATTGTCAGCAGATCTGTACCTTTTTTATAAACTTAAGTTTATTTAAATCCAGCCGTTTTGCTAAAAATCGCAACACTTAATGCATCTAAATAGCCACAACAATGTCTGTGAGTTAAAACAGCAGAATTAAAATCAAAACAGACATAGAAGAGGCAGGGTACCAGAAAATTACAATATCAGAGTCTGCATGTAATATAAGGCAAATGAAAAGCTTATCCACACAAAATTGTCTTAACTGAAGGAAATAAAAGGGGGATGATAAAAGGCTCTCACAGCAGCCCCATTTGGGACTCCTTTGCTGCAGATCTTAGGGTGTGGGCCGCATGAGATGGTTGGAGGAGATTGTGTAAGTTCTTTGGAACTAAACCATTTAAGGCTTTATAGATAACCTCCAAACCTTTGAATTGTGCCTGGAAACTTTGGTAATCTATATACACAATGGCTTATTCCAGGGTTATGAGGGCCCTTGGGCAAGGCACTTCTTCCCTCAGTGAGCGTCATGAGCAGAGAGCCAGGGAGCAAGGAGGCAGGGGCCCCTCCTGCTACTCTTCCCCCCTCCCCCACTACCACAGTGAGCAAGCCAGTTGCAATGGAGAAGAAGAAGAGCACCTCCAGGGGCCTTTGTGGATGTGCTTTCCCTGGAACGTTGGCCTTTGGCAAGTTTCCAGCCATGCTGATCCTTCTTGCTGAGTGTGGCTCTTTTAGAATGGAGGACGCGCTCACACATCCAAGCGCTTGTTGCTGAATTGTGGACTGGCAAAAGACCCTTCAAAGGCAGCTCCACGTAGAATGCATTACAGAAGATCTGTTTTGATATAACCAAGTGCTTGCTGTTGGGCTAGCTCTGGTCTTCCCAGGAGCTGCAGCTGAGCGGATGTGTTCCTGGATGTGGCCACCGTCTGAGCAGGCAGATACAAAACCAAGTCTGGCACCCAAACCGTGACACTGTCTGTTCAAGGAAAGCGCTGTTCCACCCAGAACAGAATACAACACCAAGCCCTGAGAGGACACTCTCCCCAGCAGGAGCACTTCTCCCTTTTCTTGGTCCTCATCCAGTTTATAGCAGCCCTACAGGCATTGTTTGGGAACATCAACAGCTTCCTTGAAGTGGTATGGTGGTGGGAGAGCAAGTGAGCTGCAGATTTATTATTGCTCTTGCTCTGTTATGGTGCACAACCCTGCTGACAATGCATCCTGAAGTCCCTGGATGATCTCCCTGTGTCCTATTACATAGATGTGAAGCAGCACAGGGGACAGAATGGAATCCAATGAAAACAGCATGACCGGCTCAGGATGCGCTGCTTCCTGAAGCCAGTGCAGCAGAAGACAACCCCTCCCCACCCTTGAAAGTCAAGGTTCATCCGCACCCGTCAAATTGTTGTGGTAGCTGAGGCAGAACATTTTGCAAGTGCCTCTCAGCTTTCCTGGCAGTAAAAAAGCAAACATAATAAATTAAATTTCCAAACATTTGAGGCTCTTTTATGATACTCCAAGTCTGCTGCCTGAGGAACTACCAAGCCCTGAAAAACAACCAACAGCTGCTTGATTTGCACTACAAGTCTGAAAATAGATTCATGCTCCTGTCTGTGCCTTAAGTTTCAAACCTTCTACATCAAGGTTGGGATGTTTTTTTTCCTATCAAGGGCCAGTTTCTTTGCAGACTATGTGCTAATAGCAGGTGGAGGCCACGTGAAGATTGGGCAGACCCACCCCCAGACTTTTTCTAGAACTCTTTTCTCTCTCTCTTCTTCCTCCCAGCTCAGCAGACCATGGTGGGAGGCAGCGTGCTCTTGAGGAGCTACTATTTCCAGAGGGCTTCTAAAATTAGGATGCAGGTGGCCCACATCTTTCCCCCATTTGGAGAACAGAAAGTATGGGGGGGCTGGAGGTGTTCATCAAAAGACCTCTTCTTAGGAATGATGGGGAAAGTTTCGGTATCTTAGAGGGATGGATAAGTGAAAGCGAGAAATCCCATTATGATAACCTTCGTAATAGATTATGTTGCTGCCTGAGGCCAAGGATTAGATCAGGGTGTCCAGCCTTTGGGCTTCTCTGGGCCACATGGGAAGAAGAAAAATTGTCTTGGGCCACAAACACTAATAAAAGCTGATGAGCAAAAAGAAAGGTCTGTGCATAATTTTCACGATCTCTGCCACCACCATGCAGATAGTTGATGGGGTGTGTTGCACTATTGTGCAGTGTGTTGTGCTGTTGTGCAGCGCTGTTGTGCAGCACTTGCCACCAGCTGTCACTGAGATGCCATTTGAGCGGCAGCTGCAACATCTGGATGGACATGAGCTCGTTACTTCTGCCTTCGTGGGCTGCAGCTCTTGGCACTGCAATGCAGAGCACGCATCTGGAACACAGCTACCTAGTTTGGCTGGAATGCTGGCAATACCTGGGTTGTTAACCCAGGAATTGCAGAGGTGAGTGGAGCGCACAAGCTGCACATGCATCATTCCAGCTTTTAAATCAGCAGCCCAGGAACACCAGGGAGGTTTCTTTTCTCTAGCACCAACTTTGCATAATGTGAAGAGCTCAGCCTGGTGCGATCGGCCATCCAACCTCCCAGTCAGAGCCCCACTTACACCCCCCGCCCCACTGCGTGTTCATTTTGGGGTTGTTCATTGTTTAACCATGCTGGAACCCAGGAGCCTAGCCCTGCTCTCTCAGTCTAAGAACCACTCGTGTAGCAAAATGTCAGCAAAACATTTTTATTGGGAAATGCATGGGGAAACGAGGCCTGAAATAGGGCAGCACGTTCACAAAATGAAGATTCAGTATCTCCTTCTCTGCCTCCGTTTGGC